TTCATAACAATGTCATAATAAAACGCTTCTTTCTGAAAAAAAAACAATCTTCTGTTGATCTAAGTTTGAAACAGTTGCTGTGTTTACTGTTGATTTTTAATAGCATATGTGTAAGCTTCACTGTGGTACATTCAATCTCTCATCCTATACTTAATGAGGTTAAGTCAGAAAACACAACCACCACACCATGATCACGGCCAACAAGTTCCTCAATATCACCTGTGCTCTGTCAGCTCTACAAAGAGGGCTCCTTCACAATGCCCTCAAGTCACCCACCTTCAGGTCCCACAGCTATCACTCTTCATCTTGTTTCTGGCTTGTGTCCTCTAGGACAGTTATCAAAGTTTGTTATTATACTGTTGCTTGCTTGTGTGTTCTGTTGGGCTTCATTTCATCCCCTCAGAACAAAAACTTCCTGAGGAAAAAAAGGGTATTTGTCTTGTTCCTCATCGAATCCCCAGCACAACTGCCAAGGGCAGTGTGGCAGCCAAGGGCCTGACTTGCAGCAAGATTGGGAGATGATTAATTATGGCATAATCCGGGGCAAAAGAGAAGAGTAGCCAGCTCTGTACAGGGCAGCTGCATCCTTGTACAGCTCTTATCTATTAGCCAACAAAAGCAGTAATGGATAACTAGGCTGAGTGTGGTCATGCCAATAAAAACTCATTATCTCTTGCCTAATTGCTGAACCTATGCCAGGTTTCACATCCAAACCTATTAATGAAAGAAGCCACAGAGTCTCCAGAAGGAAAGACTTGGCACACAATGGTCCAAGTCCTTCCCCAAGAAGGGGCCTATGGTGTTCTACTGGACTGTTGATGAGGAAACAGTGATAGCTATAATACACTTTTAGGACTGTAAGAATAGGGCTTGAGTCACCACTGATACCTAGAGACCAAACTAGCATTGTGCTTTGACCCAGTTAGAATGAAGACCCACAGCAGCCTAAGCCCAGCTTATAAAGGATCTCCAAGGTCTGTGGACTCTGCCAGTGGTCACTTTTCTGCCACCAAAGTTCAAATTGGGGTCGACTGTATAGAAGTTTGAGAAACTCCACAGGAGGCCCTGGCCTGGGGGTAAGAGCTATCTAGCTAGGAAGGCCAAATGGATGCCTCTCTCTGAAACTGCACCTGAGTAAATAAAAGCTCAAAGCAACATCGCAGCTGGGCAGGGCAGGGCAGGGAGGAGTAGATGCCACAGAGGTGGTTCCCATCAAATCTCCATGTAGTTCAAAGGTCTGGCACCTGAGGACCCTTGATGAGCTCAGAAACATGACTATCAGCTGCAGCAAGCTCAATCAAGTAGCAAAGCTGACCACAGCTGCCACGCAAGTCTAATACCTGCTAGAGCCAATAATAGCACCTCAGCCAAGGGAAGGTGGCCAGTGATCGGGCCAAATGCTTTCTTTTTAACCTCAGCTGAAAAGAAAGGATTCACATTAACATGGCACAGACAGGAGTATATAGTCATGGGTAACAGCAATCCTCCTAGCCTCTGTCCTAAGATGTGCCGAATAGCTCAGGAACATTTAGTCTCCCATGCAATATCACAGCGAGCCATTAAGCGGGTTGGCAAACTATGGGTGCTTTTCTATGGCGCTCAGGCAAAGAATGATTTTTACAATTTTAAATGGTTAAAATGACTAAAATAAATAGAGCACAGAGGTTTTTAGAACAATGTGTTAGTCAGCTTTCCATCACTATGACCAAATACCTTGATAGGGAAAACTTTAATAGTGAAAACTTAGGAAATGTCACAATATAAGATAACTTAAAAGTTTTGTAAGTGAAAAGAACCATTGTTAGTTTTGTTGACCAAACACCGGCTAGAAGAGGTAACTGAGTAAATCTTAAAGGTAACTTCCTCTAACAAAGAACTACATCTGAGTTGAAATCCAACTGCCTTGCCACCATGTTTTGGGTATCAGCAAGGTGACCTGTGAAAATGCAATGTAACCAACTGATAAGATCAAGGCTGTAAACCCCTATAAAAGGAGGAGTTGTAACCCAATGGGGGAGTCGATAAGGGCACTGCTATTAGGCCTCATCAATCCCCATGGATGGAGTAAACTTTGTTATTTTACCTCCATTCTGCTGCCTCTCTGTGTGTCACTTGCCATCACCTTCCACAACAACCTCAGAAAGTCAACTTTTGGATCCCATGAGACACACTCATGGTGCACCCGTGCATACTACTTGGATCGCGGATACACACCCAAATCCACAGGAAACACAGCACTAAGCAAGAGCCCTAAGAAGCTATGGACTCTGGGTGAGGCTAACGTGTCAATACAGTTCGCCAGTTATAATGTCTGCCCTCTGGCGTGAGATGCTGATAGTGGCTATGCGGATGGATTCAAAGGAATAAGAGAGTTCTACATTTTCTGCTCAATTTGGTTGCAATCATAAAACTGCTCTAAAAAATTAAGTTTCTTAGTTTATTTAAAAATCAAAGGAGGAAGACTACCTTGTGATTATATGAAGCTCAATTTGGGGGGGTGGGTACCGGGGATCCAACTCAGGACCTTGCACTTGTGAGGTAGGCAAGGTGCCCCTGAGCCAAAATTTTAATGTCTGTACACAACACTTGGTTGGAACAGTACAGAACCAGGCCTGAGTTAAGCAGCTAAGGCACTGACAGGATGACTTAAAAAGCCTAAACTATTCCCTATCCGGCCCTGTCCACAAGTGGTGTGCCTGTGTACATAATGGGAACAGCACCATGGTGAGGAACAGGTGGGAAAATACAGCAGGTCCTGGGATGAAGTCTGACCAGGAGAGTGGGTGATGAGCCCTTTGAAATTCAAGTCTTGTCACAACACTGCTGTTCTTAGGGGTCCACTGGTTAATGGAATGCTGAGACATCACAGCACATTAAAAACATACACACATATACGCAGTCACACAGCTTAACGCATCTTTGCCTTTCCTACCACGGAGGAGGAAACTACCGCCTGTTCAGCCACTCTGTTCCCTAGAGGCACCACACTCCACAGTGAGAAATACCGTTCAGGCTGTGAGAGGTGCTAGGAACAGGAAAAGACTTGTCAGCAGGTCCAGGGCCCAGTGCAAGCTGCCAGGCCACCTGAGCCATTGGCCCAAGCAGACCTCATGGCTCAGAGGCACAGGTGGTGGACAGGCATCATGTTGGATTATTGTAAGCTCCAAGGGGGAGAGTCATGGTACAGACCCTGGAATTCTGGAGCAAAGCCAGGCTACGTGTAGCAGGGAGTCCTCCACCATATTAAAAAAAAAAAAAAAAAAAAAAACA